TTTAGAGCTAAGTACATTTACACGTGTACAGTTATCATTGGTCAGTTGGTTAACTGTACTTTCTTGATTTTTTTTGCTTCTAGACTTTCATTGTCTAATAGACTCGACTTGCTTCGTGAGAAGAGTCGAGCTCGAGCTCAGTATTTGGCAGTACTCAAACATCCCCTGGCTCGAGCTCAACTCAACTTATTTGCACCCCTATCCTAATCCAAACAAAGTTTTTTTTCTCTCCTTTAAAGAAAATCTTAGTATTAAATATATATAATTTAGAAAATTATGTTTTAATTTGACCATAAAAATGATTAATTTGACCTGAAACAGACCTTTCAATGCTGGATTTATTTACTCAGATCTCCAAAACAATAATTAGCGCGCATAACAAAATTTATACTATAATTTTTGTTTTTTATGTAATGAGAGTATACAATTAATGGATTTGGTTTGACTCCTCTAATGCTTATTTGACCTTCTTAACCCTGCTTATTATGTCACATCACTGTAGTCTGTAGAGCAGGCCGGCAGGACCTTATTGATTTCACTAATTTTTTTTAATAATTATTTTTATCTGACCTCCTTAATTTAAATTTCATATAAACCATCTGAATTAATCAATATATGATTGATAAGAAAATATTTTCGTTTAATTAATAAAATTATGTTTAATATTTTTAATTAGATTTATACGAAAATCATAGCAATTTCTGATTCAATGAAAGCAAATTTAATAGCCGAAAAGCAGATTCATTAATGGTGTTCATAAAGTTAAACTTTGGATTGATCCAATGTCATTAATTAATTATACAAAACACCTAACTCATAATTAATATTTTGTTACACTACTTTAAAATATTTATATGATTATGACCCTAAGTTTAATAATATATTTTTAGCTCCAGCAATCACAAAAGCATTGGCTCATCATTTATCTACACGCCTGGCTTAGGCACTATCTTCTTGCAGCTTCTTAAAGCAGCTTTTAATACAAATATTTTTAATTTGTACTAGAAAGCAGCTTAAGAAATAGTAAAAAAATCGTCCCGAACGGAAGTTTAATTATGTTGCGATCTAAAAAGTATAAAATAATAAGAAAGCTGTCCCAAACAATAGTCTAGAGTTGCTTTTCTCTCATATATAATTTCACATCAACTTCATAAAATTTGCAGTCGATTCAAACAGACTTAAATAAATGACAAGTAATAGCTAAAAACTCTCTCTCTCTCTCTCTCTCTCTATATATATATATATATCTAATATGTATGTATGTATATAATGATATGTATGTATAACTTGCATTGATGTAATTGAAATGACATTAACGTGAATCTCTTTTAAATTTGAAATATATAGCTTCATTGCTCAACTCATAATTTTTAAATAGTCACTATTACAAAAAAATTTTTATAGCATTCTTCTTATTTATAAATCTTACTTGGCATTGTTAACAAACATATGGATCGATACATGTTGGTGTCTCTGATGAGGACATCGTCAGCATATTCGACACGTGTTACACATTAGGAGACGCGGGAGGATCGACGACGCCACGATCATAGAGTTATTTGAGTCATTTTATTGTAGTAGTTTATTTGTATTTTTATGTTTTCGTCGTCCTTAGGGTGGTTAGTTGCTATTGTAGCCCAAGGGGCATTTTAGTCCTTTGTTTTTCTTTGTCATTGTGAGTAGCTATTTATATGGCCATCTCTTGTAATAATTTAGTTTTTGATGAATGAAAATTTGACTTTTCTTGTTCTCTTTGTGAGTACAAACCTCCACGATCTCTTAATGAGTTCGTAGGAGACAACACGGATTCAAGTGGGGGCCAGCGGGGGCACGTGCCCCCCCTAAAAAAATGGCGGAGCTCAATTTAGAGCTTCTGTTTCTTGTCTCGTCGCCGTTCTCTGAACACTCAGCCTCTTCTTCCATGGCTGCTTCGTCAATGTACTTCACAGTTCTCCTTCAATCTTATTTTCTTGCTTTTTCTCTGTTTGCGCTCTTCTTATCCTGTGACATGCTCGGTTGCGATGCGTCGGTAATTTCGGCATCAACGGCGAACAATAAGGTGGAACGGGATAATTCGAACAATCCCTCCCTCGCCGGCGATGATTTTGACACTGTCATCAAAGCTAGTGTTGCTGTCGATGCCATCACCCAATGTCGAGACAACATCTCCTGCGCTAATATCCTCGTCATTGCCACCCCGCACCCATGATGTCATCTCCCTTGTTCGATTCTGTTTTGATTTTCAACTTCTGCTCCGATTTCTGTTTCGTGCCCAGCAAAAGTTTGGCTTAGCATGTACTTCCACAGCCTAAATCAATTGTGATGATTTTGGAGCAAAATAATTATTAAAAAAAATCCAAAAGTTTGATATATTTTGAGTAAATTTCACTGAAATAGTCAATTAGGATGGATGATTTTCTTTTGTGCAAAATAAATTTAGGCCCCCGCTGAAAATTTTTTCTGGCTCCGCCACTGGTAGGAGAAGCTAGATCTCTTTGTGAGTTCTAGGTTCTTTCTTGCTCCCCTATTTTCCTTTCTTTTTTCCTTGTTCTACTAATTTCCTTCACTCCACGTGAGTTTGTCGTCGCTGTGAGGATTTAGATTGAAGAGTTTGTGGAGAGTGAAA